TAGAGAATCAATATGTCTTGATTTCAGAAATGTATTTAATAAACGGTTACCGCTTGACCAGTTCGAGTTTGTAGAGGGGATATTTGTGTCAATTAATTCTTTCAATTTTGTATAATTTTCAGTATCTGTTAGCAGGCGTAACAATGTTTTATTTAAATGTGCACCATTCGAAATTCCGTTCATAAATTGTGACTCTTTTGTCTTTTTAACATCTGCAAAACCATTAATCCATTTATCTAATGGTGGATTAGAAGCATCAGTACCATTTGTAATAACAATATTAAATGTTTCGTTTGTCTTTTACACAACTGACGAATACCATCATTTGCAGCTTGTTCATATGGTGTTAACTGTTTTGAATTTATTGTTAAACGGTCACAATCATGTTCAAGTAATTGCTGTACAATATCGCTATGACCATATTCACATGCTATGTGCAACAGCGTATTACCACTGGTAGTTTCTCGATGAGTTAATTGATCAGAAGTAAGCTTTTCCAACATTTGTTCAACGTAACGTGAATAACCATTGCGACATGCCAAATACAAATCAGATCAAAGCTTCTCCTGCTGACGGCTTGACTGACTGCCCATTCTAACTAAAATAATGCACATGCCCCACAGCATCGTTGACTTTACAATCAGTACATTTCACTGTGCTCAAACCAAGAAAATGACCCAGGCACGAAAAAAGCAGCTAGCATCGCTCGATGCATCGACCAAAAGACGATGGAGATTTTTAAAGAATAAATAAATAAATAAATAACTGTGCATCTAGTAACAGTCGATGCAGCTAGCTTCTGTTAAGAAGTCCTTATTGTTTTCGTTTCATCCTTCTTTTTACATCATCTGTTATGTCATAAAGAAGTCATATGTCTATAGTGACCTTTCTCTTTCTCTCTGTTCTACTGACGTCATTAGTTCGGCCAGTAGTAAATGACATATTCTTTCCTATTCTTCTTTGTACGTCATGACCTAATGATGTCGTGTTCTGTCCAGTTCTTCTGACGTCATTAGATCCTTTTCTAATGTTTTCTCGGACTTTCGGTGATATGTATATATAGCTGTATTTTTGCGAATGTAGAACATAGGAATTGGTTACTGAATAAAGTGAACAAGTTAGAAAATTAATCAAGATAGTTTTACTACTTAACACTTCATACATCTAGGTGGGTCTACTAGTGCAC